TTACTGTGTCAGCTACGCAAGAACTCGAAATTATGTTAGTCTGTGTGTATGTATGTGGGTATGTATGTATGTGAATAGGTATGTATGTGAACACTGTGAGCATGTAATTATTTTCAATAATGCAACTACAACAAAGCACAAAACGTGATTATCAGACGCTGAGCCAGTCGGCTCGGCGCGCATGATCAACAGTTAAATGAACGATTAAGTACGAAGGCTACTTTAAGCAGATGATCACCAAAAGGAGAGCCAAAGCCATGTCGCCAAGTGCCAAACAAAGGCTTCAAAGCGGATTTTGTTTTGGTATCAAAAGAAGCTAATTTAATTGCATTTTATAAAGTTTTGTTTTGTTGGGTTTTTCTTTTTTTTTTTATATATATTTTTCATTTGTTGCTTGTAGTTCATTGCAATTGAAAATAGTTGGTTTACCTGACTTAATGCCGTTGGCATAGCCTTCATCGTGTGAATATTTACCGGCAATGGTGGAATGCCAGTTATTCCACTAGTTCCACTCAGCAGCTTCTCAACGGAGGTCTGGCCGCCGCCGTACGCCGACGCGTTCATTGATTGCAGGGCATGACTGCTCAGACTCGAGGATATGCCGCTGATTGAGTTGGGCATCAGGGCCGATATGGATGATAAGCCACCAGCGCCGCCAACACCACCGCCGCCACCACCAACACCCGCCGCGGCGGCGGCAGCAGCGCTCTGCGAGCCAACGCTCGTGCCGCTCAGGCTGGTGCTAGCGCCGTTGCCCAGCGTGGAGGCCAGCGATTGCGGCAGGCTCGAGTAGCCGGACGATAGGGCGGACACGCCGCCACCCGATGCGCCGCCCAATACGGCGCGTTTGTATCGATTCAGTTCTTCTTCAAGTTCTTTACGAAAAAACGAAATACATAAATAAATGAAACCAAAAAAATCGCATGCAAATTTGATAAACTTCGGACTTACCACTCTTTGATATGGTTCTAAATTCGCTGTTTCCCGTATTCATCATGGAGCTGGGCGGCATGCTTTGCAAGGCTGACATGCTGGCGCTGGCCGAGGTGCGCGGTTGTTCCAGCTCGGCCAAAACGCGATTGTCCTGGAATCGAACAGAGGAACATGAGGAACTCGGCAAATATGCATGTGATATATATATTAGATACATATTAAATTCGATATTTTAATGAGGATATTCTTCTATATCAATAGATGAATATAGAGATTAGAACATCCATATTGGATACTTCTCAAGAATAAAATGTATAAAAAAGAATACTTCATATATCTTTTCCTATTTATCTTTCATGTTATTTTTTCTTAAAATGTCCTCTAAACTTAACAGAGAGAATTTGTGTGATATATATGTTGTGATGTTAATGTTTCGAGTATAGCCCTAGCAGGCTACGTGAGGTATACTAATAGACTATGTTGGCCTGAGAAAGTCATTATTCAGTGTTTGTTCTCTGCACCCGAAATCTGGCATAAATTGAAAACCGAAATTCGATTGAGAACATGATTCCCGTTGCTGATGCGGTGACTGGGCTGATAATCAAGGCCCAGAAAGTCTCTAGCAACTTCAATGATTTGATACAGAAGACAACGTGTCTATTGGCTGACTGTGAAAGTGTGAACAAGAAGTTCTTCGACTCCTGCGGCGTGCAGGACGATCAATTGCTGAAGAACTTGGTCAAATATTGCAATGACGATGAACGCATACAGCAGCTGCTCGAGAACGCGGAGCTTAAGCAGACCGTGGAGGACTACAAGGAGGGCGTCAAGATAATAATGGAGAAGTTCAGAAAGCACTGCCAGCAGAACGCGCTCGGCGAGAGATTCAATCTGCGCCGCAGATACGTTGGCCAGCTGCAGGAGATGGTCAACAATCTAGAGAAGCGGATCGAGGAGATGACCCTGATCATGCTGTGCAGCATTAGCGTGGATGAGCACAACAGCAATGAAAACCAACGCATCATCCGACAGCTGGCAAAGGACAATGAAGAGATGCGACGCAAGCTGCAGATATACACGAGCACCAACGCCGAGAGCGAGGATTACTTCAAGCAGGGTCTGCCGGCACAAGCGGACTGCGGCACACAGATCGAACTGGGCGATATGGTGGAATCGGACTCGTCCAGCAACGAGAGCTTTGGCAGTTTCGTAACCTGTTACTCATCTGCCAACGAAAGCCAGTCGACAGACAACTCAACCAAAAGCGATGTCGATTGAGCGGGGGACATAGGGGGCACATTGGGGCACATTAATTCATTCATGTTAGCTCACACTGTGTTCTATAATAAACATTTGCCATTTACCTGCTCAATCTTGGCCATTATTATATCGATCTCGGAGCCTTGGTCCTGGTGGCTGATTGTCGGTGCCCATGTGACGGTGGAGCTGCTTGCAGAAGTTGGTATACTTGAGCATGGATATTGGCCATGTTGCGCTGCTGCGGTTGATGTTGGGGGGCAATTGGCCATGTTCTGGTTACTGGGCCGCCCTGCCTTGGCTTTGAGCGCGGCGGTTAGCTCGATCTGCAGCTCCTCGCAGCGCACGTTCTCCAGCGCCACCTGAAATGCATTGCACAAGAATAGCTGAGGGTCTGCGGGCCACATTTGATGCGCCGCTGGCGCTTACCTTCTTTTCCAGCTCACGAGCACGCGACTGCAGATTCTCCACGGCCTCGGTGTCGGGTCGAGCGCATCCGCTTAAATTGCGTATTTGTGCCAGAGTTTCCTGTCAACGGAACCACTCGAAATTGTAGTCGAGCTGCTGCAAATCATTCGCACTGCGAACTCACCTGATGCGCCCGCTCGATCTCGGTGCGCCGCATTTCCGCATCGCGCAGCTGCATGCTAAGCGAGTCCAGCATGCTATTTGGCGCTACGCCGGCGGCCACGGCAGCGGCCGCCGACTGATGATGGTGCATCGACTCGTACGGCATGCTGTGGCTGCCCTTCTGACGTCTGCGAATGAATAAAACAAAACAGAATCGAAAATCGACTTTCAGTCCTTGCACCACTCTCGACTATAAAAATCCCCGTGGGTGGCTTGCAGCCAATGAAGGGTTATTGCTCATTTTGGGCTTGATTTATTTATGTGCGCGAGCTTACGAAATGGGGCAACTGCTTTGCTCCGCTTTGTAATTGTGGAACATGTGGCACACACACAAATACACACACATACACAGAGAGAGCAACTTGTGAACTTTGAACTTTGGGTTAATTGCTGTTGTGACCGCGTTTCGTGTCTGACCCCCAAGGAACGGCACGCTCATGCAACAATATTTCCCAATAGTTGGTGTTGTGCCGCTGCTTCAAGACTGCATTCATTGAGTATTTCCTCCGTATTTCCCATATTACTCATACGTCATGTAATCGTGTGAAAAAGTGCGTAATGCTAAACGCTCGCCCTCTCAATCGTCCGACACCTGCGCTGCAATCTGGCGCTTTGATTTCACTGTCTGCCATTGCAAACACAAACATACACACACACACACACACACAGACAGTCGAGCATACATAGATACATTTACAGTCATGCACACGTACAGTCAATTGTATTACTCATACGCCTTGTTAGACGCGTGTCGGTATAAAAACAACTGTAACATGAGAGGAAAACTAAGCTAACTGACCGATGCCTGAATACCTCGTTAGCGACTGTTTGATAGAAAGTTGAACTGAATATGTATATTATATTATATGGTGAAAACTCAGTTTTGACTATAAGCCTATTAATGAAAACTAAATATTTGTATAACTATTTATTGTTATATTTATAAAGTTTTGCTTTTCCACCAACAATTGATATGAAAACTTTTCTGCTCAATCAGCAATAAATTATTGTCTATTTAGAGTTTATATGGCTTGAAACTTTTCTGCCAGGGATAATCCACTATTTTGTTATCCCTGTTTAGAGGGTATTCAACACGCGCCAGTTTGTCTAGACGGCAGCAAGACGCTGCACTTGCTGAAAGAGCAAAAGTTACAAGCTGTAAATTTATATATATACATACACACACACACACAATATATAAACTGTTGGAGTTGCAATAGTTGCGAAATGCGGGGCTTAGACAGGCTACAATTCTGCTTTAGTGGCTTTCCGTATTATGTTGGAAGTGAAATCCAATAATAAATCGCGAAGGAAATTCAATTTGCATCACTTTGCGTCCGATGATGTGCTAGGGGAATATCTATAGTAAAATGTATACAGAATGCTGCGATGATTCTGGCACACTGTTACACAAACTCCAAGGAGAACACCCACACACACACACACACAGATAGGCCAGGCTGTCAGTCAGGCAGGCAAATCACATGCATACAACTGCAGTCTGCTGTCAATGGCGATGTTTGCTGTATTTACACCCCTCCCGCTTCCCCTTGACATTTAAAAGGCAATGACAAGGTTTATCCCGCTACTGTCCCGCCCATCTGTGGGCGGACATGACAGCATCCAGCAGGTGGGCTTTGACATTTACTTCACGTCCTTCCGGTGTTGCCAGCAACAGCTCTCAGTTACGTTGATTGCATATTTTCTGCAAAGCGATTGCCTACCTGGACGTGCTGTTGATATCTACACTGGAAAACTGGATGCTGAATAGCTAAGTCGGAGTACTTACAACGATCGGTTAATCATCTTAAAGCATCATTTATGCATCAAATAAAACTGCCTCTATTTATAGTAAATGTAGCACTTTTTTTTCACTTCACTTTTGCATGAATGCGCGCGTGTGTGTATGTGTGTGTGGGTAAACCGATGCCGTTATAATTGCGTTACGTGTATGCAGCACAACGGAGCGCAGTCAAATGCGAAGCGCAACAGCAGCAAAGTCTCATTACGGCCACTAGTTGCTATTGTGCACATCGCCACGACAGTCTCTTCCCCAGCTCCGCTGTAACAGTGTATGTACTCGTGTGTAAGTGTGTGTGTGTGTGAGTGTGTACAACTGCAAAAGGAAAAACAACAGCAACAATGTCGTTTATAGCTTTAGCTTAACTGCAAAAGTATGCACAGCAATTTGAGTGTGCGAACAAGATGGCAGCATTGTCTGTGTGTCGACGACGAGAGCCAGAGAATTTTGGTCATTGAGTGATGAACTGCCCAGCTATCACTATAGAGAGAGAGAGAGAGACCGAGAGAGAGCGTGTGTGGTGCGTGTGAGTAAATATCCCAGCGAGAGATTGCAGTCAGCCAACACTGGCGCATGCGCGATGCTGTAAAGTTAACAGACCATCAAACTATTAGTCAGTTAACAGAGCTGTATGTCCTTAAGTCGGTGGGCTTCAAAATTTTTTAATTATGATTATGAAGTGGGCGTTAAGTAGCTCTTACTCTGTGTGTTTGTGTGCGTGTGAGTTTTCTTTGCTTTGCACTTGTTTTCTCATCATTTTCTTCATGGCTGTAAGTGGGTAGCATGTGGCTGTATATAGCTTCTCATTTCCTTATACGATTTTTATCTAATTGACTTGCATGTTGAGTTGGATCTATAAACTTAATCACGCAGTTAAATATTTCTTCATTTAGAGCACACAAAATCTATGTAGCAACAGTTAATACCGAAAGGCACAAGAGCATCATCAGCTGTTGTGAACTGTTTTAAATTTTAATGAGTTCGCCAAATGCGGATTAGCCAAACGGCTCGCACACAAGGCAAGCTGTTCGCTCTTTCTCTTCCTTAATGGGTGGCCCACATGCCAGGGCCCATCCTCAGTCCCATTCGAATGTAGGTTGCAGGCTGATGCTGATGCTTTACACTCTATTAACCCAATTTCGTTTGGCAATTGCCATCGGAGTAAATTAAATGGAAAATTCACATGGATTTTAATTCCGATTCATGCGATTTTGATCGATGTATGCGACAAACACGGAATGGCCGAAATTCGGTTAATTATAATCGTAATACTTTAAAATATTTACTAACTCGATAGTAATTAAAAAACTTTCTTTGCTTACTGAATAAAAAAGCAACTGATAAAAAAAATAATAATTGAGGTTACAAACTTAAAAGTTACATCGTGCCACAGAAGTTTTCTGAGATAAATATACAGCATTTGGTTAGAGTTTTTCGCTCAAACACAAGTGAATGGAAAAGGAGGAAACAACTTTTACAAATGGAAAAATGCAGTTTTATGCCCATATTGCATTGCATACTTTTTAGAGTTTATAAACGGAAAAGCGAGAGAGAACAACATACAAGTGCCAATTTCAAGATGACTTTCCGCAGATGTATTTAACAATTTATGCAAAGTTGTATTGCAATTTGATCTGGATCCTCTAAATTAAATAATAATTATAGATTGAGGAGCTTATATATTATTTTACTATTCAAATATAATCAAAGTAAATTCAACAAAGTTAAATTACATCAAACTGCACAGAATTCATCTCAGGTAGCTATAAAAATTAAATCTACTTCAAAGACGCTTTTGTATAATATACACATAAAAGCCCTCTTTAAATTTGTTTAAATTTTGATAAAGTTCACTATCCTGCTGACAGTTTGACCTCAATAGCAGCACACAAAAAAGTAGAAGAGCAGCCAAACAGCACAAAAACTATCTTGCCTATTTATAACTACACACACACACACACACACACATAGACCGAGCGAAGCTCATGCGGGTCACACAAGTACACACTCACACACATACATATTGTAGCATAGTTTTTTGGGCAAAGTTTGTGGAATGTGTAAAATCGAATCTCTTCCTTTGCCCCATCCCTTGGCTTTTAGCGAATCGACCATTGAATGATAGCCACATGTCAAAATTGAGCTGCTGCTCGATAAATTCTTGCACAGAAGCAAACAAGAAAAGACCTTTTCATATATTGACATTTTTTTTAGCAGCGCGTGACATTAGATCGTTGCATTCACGAAAGACAAAAGAAAATGCGAATCATAAATCTACATATTTAGGCAGAGCATAATAAGAACAACAAGACAAATAAAATAAACGAAAAAACAAATTGCGAATAAAGCCAAAAATAGTTGTTACAGCGTTTAGGCGCAGTCGACAGCGCTGTTATTATCTCTCCTGTTACTGTTTACACACGCACACGCGTACACACACACAAACACACACACACACACACACACACATACACAGACGCACACATTGTTAGCTAACTGCGAGTGACACAAGACAACCGCATGGCAAACACCTGCCCCCAACTGCCGTCGCAGCTCTTGCTCTCGCACTCTTTTACTGCTGCTATACATATATATGTTTGTATGTATGCGTATGCGTGTGTACATATCTGTTTGGGCCATTCTGTTACGCACGCAGAGGAGCAAACAACTTTTACGCCTCCCACATGGCCCAACTGTTGTCGTTGTTGTTGTTGCTGCCGCTGCTGCTGCGCGCCAAGTGTCAAAACCGCCCCCAAAAGCAAAATGTGGCACTTTTCATTTATCTTTTGCCGCTGCTGCTATCATGGCTACTGCGGCTGCGGCTGTTACTGCGGCTATGAATATGAAACGCACACACACACATACAGATACACATATATACAAATATATATACATATGTATATATAATTTACACAAACACACACAGACATCCGACCAGCAGCTATATGAGCCGCAAACTGCTGCTCTGCTCCACTTCCACTGGCCATTCCACGTTGCCTAAGTGTGTGCGACTTGTGCGCGCGCGCCTTTTTGTCCAAATGCAGTTTGTTTGCCAATTTTGGCACACTTTATTAATGCACTTTAGCATAAGCAGCAGCAGAGCCACTCAGCACATGCATGCGCACGTATTTATATACATTTGTGTTCAGTTTTCATTCAATATTCCGTTTGCATTGTCACAACTTTCGCATTTGTATTGTTGGTCACATTGCCTTCAATGCGTGTGTGTGTGTGTGTGTGTGTACTCGTCCATGTGGGCATGTGTGTGCGCGTGTGGGTGTAATTTTACGTTAGCTTGCTTGGTTTTTTTTTTATCGTTT